TCGCTTCCTCTATTTTTTTTTTTTGGTGTCCAACCTGAGACACCCTAGAGGGTCCTGATTTTCCGAGTGTGGATGCTCGGCAGTTTCTGAGAATCAGGCCCCTTTATGATGACCCAGGTTGGGCCCCCCAAAAATTGAAGCAACCCAAATCAGTTGTCACCCTTGGAAAATCTTGGCCTTAGTCTGTTTGTAGCCCAGTGTTGTTGTTTTGTACAGCGTCCCTGTATATAACATACACGGCCTGACTCTGTGTTCACTGCACGGGCCCTGAGCCTGCAAACGCTTACACACGTTGCTTTCGATAGGGCTGCTCAGGGTAGTAACATTAAGCATGCATGGACCTGTTACAGAGGGCCATAGTTTGTAGCTCTAGTGGCAAGGCAGGGCTGCATCGTTTTACTGCAGTGTCCCTGGATCGCTGAGTAGTGGCTTCCTTGGTATCTAGGCAGCAGCTCTTGTCTCTGCTTCCAAGTTGTTTTGCGAGCTGATTGTACGATTCTGTTCTTGGTACCCGAGTGTGGGCTGGAGAGGTGCGTGCATTGCAGGTGGAGCCCTCCAGGCGAATCCTACCCGAGTCCGAGCTCCTCCTGGGAAGCACAAGACAGAGTGGTGGCTCAGCGCCCTTGGAGACAATGCTGCATCCTCTGCTCTATGCCTGGCTTGCTTCATGGGCTGGAATGGAGCAGGCACATTCTCCTGACTCACCCTAACTGCTGTGGGGTGCTGGAAGAGAGCAGGGACTATGCTCCCCAGTAATATTTTGGCCAGCTCCTGCACTGGGGTAACCGAGTGAGACGCAAACTCCCTCCAGCTCCTTATGCTGGAGCTTGCCATAGCATGAGCTAATTGCACAGAGCCAGGTTACTATAGCAGAAAAAAAGCTCCAGGCAGCTGTCTGATGTAGAACTGCATCCTTATGTACTACTACTTTTAACAGCCTTTGTTCGTAGGGTGTGATCGTGTAGCCAGAGACCTGAGCTCAAACATACAGGCTGGGATCTGGTATAACTTAAATATATATTTATATAACCTCCCCATCTCCTCCAACTCCAATGCTAAAATGCAGGAGGCGAAATAGTTTGATTGCCATGGGGACATTATGGTGCAGATCCTCCGCTGGTGTAAATCAGCAAGGATGGAGCTATGTTGACTTACAAGGGCTGAGGATCTGTCCCATTGTATTTTTTTTCCGTTGCCTCGTAAGGACAGCTGCCAGGATGCTAGGTGAGCACGTCCATTCCTAAAAGTTCAGGCTTGATGCGTCCCAGGGCTCGAGGCTAAATTCCACTGCCACGCAGTGACCGGGAAAGCTGCTAGCGTATCAGTTTATTTTACAGCATATGTTTGACGCAGGATTGTATCAAAATGCCATGTAAGATTAGTGGATGCCTGGGCGTGTTAAGTAAACATGTATGTGCAATGCGTGAGCATACATCAGACTTGCATTCTGTGTTGCACACTTGAACTTACCATTCCCCAAAGCCTTTCCCAGCTGGAGGAACAGATGCTAACTGCAAAGTAAAAGAGTGAGTGTGTGTGTGTGTGTGTGTGTGTGTGTGTGTGTGTGTGTGTGTGTGTGTGTGTGTGTGTGAGAGAGAGAGAGAGAGAGAGAG